CTGGCAACGGGATCACAACCCTCGGTGTTGGTTTACTATTGAAACATGGAAATACTCCCCAAATTTATCTAGAGATTCAATGCAATCCCTATGAAAACTGCTGCTGGCTTTTTTTTTTGGCAGAAATTGACAAGTTAATCCTAAAGTTTATAAGGGAATGCAAGGAACCCAGGATATCCAAATAATCTTGAAAAAATAACAAAATTGGAGACTTTACACTTCCCAAATCCAAAACTTATTACTAAGCTACAGTAATCAAGATAGTATGGTACTGGCATAAAGATAGACATATAGATCAGTTAGAATAGAGAGCCCAAGGATAAACCCTCACATGTATGGTCAAAAATAGAATTGAGAGTTCAGAAATAAACTTGTACATTTTTGGTCAATTGATTTCCAACAGAGATGCCAAGACATTCAATGGGAAAGAATAGTTTTTTCAACAAATAGTGCTGGACAACTGGATATCCACATGCAAAGAAATGAAGGTGTCCGTCTACATCACACCATACACAGAAATTAATTCAAAATGAATCAAAAACCTGAATGTAAGAGCTACATTCTTAGACAAAAACATAAAGGCAAATTTTTATGAACCTGTATTAGACAGCAATTTCTTAACTATGACACCTAAACCACAAGCAACTAAAGAAAGAATAGATAAATTGTACCTCATCAAAATTAAAAACGTTCATGCTTCAAATGACACCATCAAGCAAGTGAAAAGACAACCCACAGAATAAGAAAAAATACTTGCAAATCATATATCTAAAAAGGAACTTGTATCCAGAATATGTAAAGAATTCCTGCAACCAATAATAAAAAGACAACCCAATTAAAAAATGAACAAATGATCTGAATAGATATCTCTTCAAGGATATACAAATGGTCCATAAGAACATGAAAAGATGTTCAACATCATTAGCCATTAAGGAAATACAAATCAAAACCTCACTAAGACACTACTTATACTCACTACTTACTACTTATACTCACTTATAAGACTTATTCTGTGGGTTGTCTTTTCACTTCCTTGATGGTATCATTTCAAAGCATGAAAGTTTTTAATTTTGATGAAGCACAATTTATTTTTTCTTTAGTTGCTTGTGCTTTAGGTGTCATAGAAACTGTTGTCTAATACGGGTTCATAAAAACTTACCCTTATGTTTTTGTCTAAGAATTTAAGAAGACAGATTATAAGTATTGGCAAGGATGTGAAAAAATTGGAACCTTTTTATGGCTGGTGGAAATGAAAAATGTTACAGCCATTTGGAAACAGTCTGGCAGTTCCTCAAATGGTTAAACACAGAGTTACCACTGAACCAGAAAATTCACTCCTAAGTATATACCCAAAAGAAATGAAAACATATGTTTCCACAAACACTTGTATACAAATGTCTACAACAGCCCTATTCATAATAGCCAAAAAGTGGAAACAACCCAAATGTCCATCAATTGATGAATGGATATACAAAAAGTGATATATCCATACAATGAAATATTACTCAGCAATAAAAAGGAATAAAGTACTTATATATGCTACAACATGTATGAACCTTGAAAACATTATGCTAAGTAAAAGTAGCCAGTCACAAAAGACTACATATTGCATAATTCCATATTAATGAGTTGTCCAGAACAGGCAAATCTATATGGGCACAAAGTAGATTAGTGGTTGTCTAGGGCTGGGGGTGGAGGGGTTTGGGAAAAAGGGGGTGTGACTACTAATAGATGTTGGTTTCTTTTGGAGTGATAAAAATGTTCTAAAATTCATTATGGTGATATTTGCATAACTCTGTGAATATATTATAAACCATCAAATTGTATCAGCTGGCCACTATTGGGATCTGAATCCTTGACATTGGTGTTATAACACCATGATCTAGGTGTACTAACCAACAGAGCTAACTGGCCAGCCCTTAATTATATCTTCTAAATAGGAAGTTTGGGCTGGTAGGTTAGCTCAGTTGGTTAGAGTGCAGCCTTATAACAGTAAGGTCATGGGTTCAGATCCCTGAATGGGCCAGCTGCAAAAAAGAAAAAAAAAATGGTGAATTGTATGGTATGTGTATTAAATCTCAATAAAGCTGTTAAAAACCTTGCTCAGTATATACTTGCAAATGTTATGAATGATTGTCAGTTTATGGAACTGTTCAAAGAAATAGAAGACAATAAATTTCATGATCTTGTGCTCTTTGCCAACGTTTGTTGGTTGAGTCATATAGACCTTTACAAAGATTTATTGTACTGTTAACCCCAAGATTTTCTTGGAACGAAAGGAACGGTTGTGTTGGGCTCAGAAAACAATACCCAATGTACAGCACTTTGGCATGCTGAGTACTTTGAACTAAAGAATATTGGAAGTCCTCAGAAGCAAAGTCTCTCTCTGACCTTCTCCTGACCACCTGTCTCTGGCCTCTCTTTCTCCCACAAGCCAAGCCATAGAAACTAGAATTCCTCTTCCCCAAGGTACATTGGTCAAGAAAAATTTGATCAAGGCACCTAAAATAGAGTTGGGTGGCAATCTTAGCTTGAACTTCAGGTATGTCTTAACTGAGAATATTCTGGAACTTTGCACTCAGCACCATCACAAAGGTCACAACCTCCTGAAGGAATGAGTGCCCAGGAGACTGCTGTTTGCTACTTTTCAATATTTCCTGCCAAACCATAAGTTTCCTGCCAAATCCTGCATCTAAGAACTGTTTCAGCCAATCTCTTATGGACAGGGCAGGGCCAATTACAGCTTTTGTTACTGCACCCATCTTCTTCCTTTAAATACCCTGACCTCTCTTTGATCTGCAGAGCACATGTTCAAGGCCTCTTGTATCTGTGTCTTTCGGGCTGCAGTCCTAGTGAGTTCTCAAATAAACCCTGTTTGTTCTATATCTCAACCAGAGAGACTGGCTGTTTAGCTTGGTTGGTTAGAACGCAGTGTTATAAAACCAAGGCCAGGGATTCAGATCCCTGAACCAGCCAGGTGCCCCGCAAAAGCAAAACGAAACAAAAAAAAAATCTTATATGTCAACCAGGTGGTCAATTTACTTTGGTTGATAGCATCATGGAAACTAGAACCCCTCTTACCCCCAAACCAGCCATAAACCTAGAAATATTACTCCATGTTTCTGTGTAAGAGCTGGTCCTAAAGAAATTCTCTGACTTACCTCGCCTGATTATAGGTAATAAGTCCCTCATTCCAGAAGGGGTCCTGCCCTATACGCAGAAGAAAGGAATGCTACATAGGGAGGCCAAAAAGAATCTGGACAGGCTTTGTTGGGTTTTTCCCCAGTCTATTGTCACTAGATTATACCCTTTTGTGCAATCGCATTTCTATACAGCTGTCCATTCTTCATCAAACCTAAACATAAAAATGGACAATTTTCCCTGGGTCTTTAGATCTTCCATTTCTGAATGCTCCCTTGTCACATAAAAGTTTAAGTAAATTTGTTACGCTTTTTTCTCTTGTCAACATATATTTTGTTATAGGAGTGTCCCTTATGATTCTTATGAATGAGGAAAGGAAGCACATTTTTCCACTCCTACAGCTGACAAGTATTTTAATCAAAAATAAAACAAGGCAGTGTAATTTGTTTTCTCACTGATATAATAATGCATATGAACAAACTAAATTTCAAGTTCCAAGGAAAGGAAAAAGCTTATTCATGATCTAACTAAACAGGTATGAGAATTTGTGTTGAAATAGAAACCTTTCATAATACAAATCCTGATAAACAGTTCAAAAGCTATTGGTTAACTGACTAAGTAGGCCGTCTTGGCACCCTGAGCTTCCATGCTGGGCCTGAAACAGCAAATAAATGTCAGAGGCCTGGGGACTGGATAACCCCCTGCCTTCTTCTTCTTCTTGAGTCCAACAAAGCTTGGAAACCAGAATTTTCCCACCCCAGCTGCCGACATAAAGTGTGGGGAAGCGGAGGAGGGGGCATTCTTTCCTTAACTTCAGAAGACAGCTCCAAGTCGGGAGATCTGTTTCCAGTCCCAGCTGCTCCGCAGTTGCGGGGGAAAAAGTCAAGACCATCCCTTGCCCTTTCGGTATTTTCTTTACGAAGGCAGATGATGGGAACGATCAATACCCGTCCCGCAGCCTGTGAAAAGCCAGAGTGAGCTGACGTATTTGAAAGTATTGAGAAAAGATGGGACGGGGGGGGGGGGGGGGGGAGGGCATAGTGAAATATGCATAGCCTGGGTTTGAACCTGTGTGACCAGGGTTGAGTCATGTAAACATGAGCTGTTTCCTCATTTGTAAATGGTATTCCCTTTCATGTTCCCAAACCGGTACGAGGGAAGAGTGTCGGCGCGGCACCCAGGAGTCATGCCGCAGCGCCACCTCCGGCCCGCTGCGCACGATGAGGGCGAGTGTCTCTGCAATCGGTTTTAGGGGTTTCTCTGGCCCAACTCTCTTGTTCGCTGATAAAAAAAGGCTCAGAGACCGAGTGACTTGTCCATGGTCACACAAGGAGCACTGTCACAGAACCGACCCAGAGCCACAGGGTCTGTGAGAATCTCGCGCGACCCACCTTGGAGAAGCAGCCAGCAATGGCGGCTCAGCAACGTGGCCACCTCAGAGCGAAGCCGTCGAGACCCGCCACCTAGCGGTTCCGGCACTACATGAAAAGCGAGGTGAAAAAGACTCTGTGTGCTGCGACATCCGGGAGCCAATAAGCTCTCAGTTCACTCAGGTAACTCCTTTTTTCCATTGGGCCTTTCTAACTTTCATGAGTCATCTCCCCAGCTTTTATTGGCTTTGCTTCAATCATTCTACTCAATCTACCAATCACGTGCTTCCTTCCAAGAGCATCTTGACGTCATTAGGTTCCTGAGTTTGAGGAGTTTAGCCAATTCCTTTATTCCATTGGCAGGATCAGGCCTCTCCTCCCATTCATCCTGTTTGGGGCGGAAGTGAGAGAGACCCTATTCCTATTGGCTTAGATTTGAAAGTGTATTAAGGTATTAAGAAGATTTTAGCGCTCAGGAAGTACGGCACCGGAAGGGGCAGGTCTTGCTAAGATGGCGGCGGTGGTGAGTGCAGTATGGTTTTTTCTTCATGCAGATATTGTGGAAGTTTCCTTTCCTCTCAGCGGCTCGAGGCAAATTCTTGGCAGGAGGGAAGGGTGGTGATGAAAGTTATTTCAGGGAGGTGGCCTCCTTGGTACAGCGGGGCAGAAGCAGCAGTAGGGAGACTGGGGACTGGAGTTACCGCTCCTCTCCAGTAACCCGAGGGGCTGGCTTCGAGGCGAGGCTGCAAGTGCACCGGAGTGAGAAGGACCCAAGTCTGGGGTGTCTGAAGGAGCTAGGGGAGTTTTCCACCGCAGATGTTCCGCCTTCTCATAATTCTGGGAAAAGTATGACATTTCTTTACTCTTCCACTTCCTTTTGTAGGGGGTGCTGGAGTCAGACCTGCCAAGTGCCGTGACACTTTTGAAAAACCTCCAAGAGCAAGTGAGTAATGTCGTCACCCCTTTGGAATAGATTAATCACTTTATGTGCCTTACCCCCAAACTTTGGTGATTTGGGGCAGATCTATAAATGCTACCAAATACCGTTAAGAGTAAAATGACTTAGTAAAATCCCTTTCAAAGGCAATAGTTCAAAGTAATTGACTTCTGCACTCAAAGGAATACAGAAAACTCCAAAAAGAAGTCATCTGGATCAATTTCCTTTATTCTTATAGCTGAGGAAACTGATGCTGGGAAAGGTGACATGATTTGTGTTTTGGGTGCCCAACTAATACACATTTATATAGTTCTACGTGTTGTAAGTTCACCGACTACAGATAAAGTTACAGTCCTCAATAACCACTGTCCAAGTCCTCGTCTTTTCCCCAGGGTTTGGTAAAGATGGTCTCTTCTTTATCTTTAAGAAGAAGTGGAAAGTTTTTTCTCCACATTGAAGAACTATCAGAAATCATTTCTCTGTACTTTTCCAGAACTGGGGAGAAGATAGTACTGAACTTCAGATAGTGTTTCAATTAATTTTTAGGTGGCATTATTTAGCTTTCGCCTTTACCAGCTCACAGAAATGAGTTGCTGTAGTCTAGTCAGCTGTTTTATTTGGGCCAATTTCAGGTGATGGCTGTAACTGCACAAGTGCAAGCATTGACAAAAAAAGTTCAAGCTGGAGCCTATCCTACAGAGAAGGTAAGATGTACTTGCAGAGTAAGCATTCTCTGACTTGATGTTCATAATAGTTTCATTGTAGATTTAGTGTCTTATCTGTCCTGGGTGCTAGAACTTCAAAGATTAATAAGATGCAGTTTCTGTGCCAGAGTCTGGTGGGGAAGACAGATCAAAGCAATGGATATAAGCAGTAGTGGTCATGTTGCAGAGTCATAAGAAGTGCTGTGCCAGCAGAGGAGAGATTGATTAACTGCCAGAGGAGCAGAGGGAGTCAGGAAGGCTTCTAAGACGAAGTAACAGGATTTTGAGGAATAAATAGGAGTCAGAGGACCAGAAAGAAGCAGCATGTGCAAAGGCATAAAAGCTGGAAAGCATGGTGATATTCTGGGAAAGGAAGTAAGTCATTTTTGTGGTTGGTTGTACATTGTGTGTGGATGTGTGGTGGGGGTAGGAAATAAGACTGGAAAAGTAGTCATTCTGTAAAGAACCTTGTAGGCCAATTGGAGAGTTACTATGATATTTCATTTAATGTAAGATGCTATTAATTTGAGCATTTTCTTAGTATTTTATATACTAAGAAAAAATGCTTCCTGCTCATCTATGACATGGTGCTGAGATACCATTGATTGAAAGATGTTTCTCTATTTCAGAAATCTTAAAATATGAAAACAATGTGCATCTTAACCTTGAAATATGGTAGTTTTCAAATTAGGGTTTGGTAGAAACTTCTCCGTGATCATTGGTGTGGGGCAGTGTGGAAGACTGACTCTGGACCTCTCATCCCTACTTAAACTAGAAAACTGTTATTATATGTTTTATATATTGAGCTTTTGTCCAAAGATATTATGTAAGCAAAATATTCAATAGGTAAACAAAAGTATGAAAATCATTGTAGTAGGTTAATAAGAGTCATTGAAGGATTTTTAAGCATGGGAGTTACATGCTTAACTTTCTAAAAGCACAAATCTAAAAGCAGAAAGATAACTAACAGCATTTTTAATATATTCTCTTATTGCCTTTTCCTTCTCATCATTCACTTTTGTTCTTACTGTCTATTTTTATGTTTTCCGATCGGGGGGATGGCTGGCCTTGGTGTTGTAACACCACGCTCTACCCTCTGATTTTTTATTTTTTATTTTATTTATTTATTTATTTATTTATTTGTCTTTTTCCATGTCCGGCAACGGATCGCAACCCTCAGTGTCGCCCCCGTACCGGACCGGGACCGGCAACGGGATCGCAACCCTCAGTGCTGCTCCCGCGCCTCGCTCAGCCAGTGAGCGGGAACCGGTCTGTATGTGAGATCCGAACCCTCGGCGGGAGCGCCACCGCGCTTCCCAAGCGGCGCACTATCGCTGTGCGCCACCGGGCCGGCCCCTAACCTCTGATTTTTTAATCTTTGTTTTTCTCTCATATGCTTATAACCCAGTTTGAACTTGACAGTGTCCAGCCATGTCAGAAGAACCTACTTCTCAGATTCTTACGTGCCTTTGTTCTGGGCACCATGATTTGATCCATTTCAGTGCCTTTTTGAGAGGGATAGGCTAGCAGCATCCTTCTTAGGCCATTTTATGTTTGTTTATTCACTGAACAGATATTAACTTATTTTTATGACTGAAGAATTTTACTAGGTGCTTTATAAGTTACAAAGTGCTTTCATGTTATCTTCGTTGAGCCTCATAATTATTCTTTGGGGCAGGAAGGAAATATACAAATGAGGGTACTTCAAAAAGTTTATGGAAAAGTAGAATTTAAAGATAATACGAGGGGCTGGCTGTTTAGTTCACTCTGTAGAGCCTGGTAACACCAAAGTCAAGGGTTGGTATCCCTTCACCTGCCAGCCACCCAAAAAGGAAAAAAAAAGAAAATACGAATCTTTCCATGAACTCTTTGTAGTACCCTTGTATTTTACAGATAAGGAGATTGAGGTTACAAGGTTAAGTGACTTATATAATATTTTACTTACCAGATGCTTAATTCAGAGCTTAAACTTAATTTGTCTGTCTTTAAGTCATTTGTTCATCCTTTCTCTACCACACTAGGCTGATCTTGAGAGCTAGGCATGTTGGTTTAAAAGGACCCAGGGCTAAAGTGTTAGACTCAGACTGAGTTGGCCTTTTTTTTTTTTTTTAAAAAGATGACCGGTAAGGGGATCTTAACCCTTGATATGGTGTTGTCAGCACCACGCTCACCCAGTGAGCGAACCGGCCATCCCTATATGGGATCCGAACCCGTGGCCTTGGTGTTATCAGCACCGCACTCTACCGAGTGAGCCACGGGCCGGCCCCTCAGACTGAGTTTGAATACCAGCTATACTACTGTTACTGTGTAATCTTGGCCAGAGTATTTAACCTATTTAAATAGGTTTGCTCAGGGCTGTGGACTTTGTCAATTTCATTTTATGCAGTCATAAAACTATTTGTCTTACTAAATAATTATAACTTAAAGTCAGTGCCCTTAAAAAAAAAACAAACTTGTGGGCCGGCCCGGTGGCGCACTGCTGTAGTGCGCCGCTTGGGAAGTGCGGTGGTGCTCCCGCCGAGGGTTCGGATCCCACATACAGACCGGTTCCCGCTCACTGGCTGAGCGAGGCGCGGGAGCAACACCAAGGGTTGCGATCCCGTTGCCGGTCCCGGTCCGGTACGGGGGCGACACTGAGGGTTGTGATCCGTTGCCGGACACGGAAAAAGACAAAAAAAACCCAAAAAAAACCAAACTTGTATAATATTTGTTCTATTTTCTGCCTGTAAACTTCTAATTTTGGAAAGTTTGGAAGTACAAAAAAAGTACAAAAAAAAAAAAGAAAAATCAGTATAGTCACCACTCTGAGATAACTACTGAGGTACTTTTCTTTTTTTTTTTTTTTTTTTAATTAGTAGTATATGCTTGTTGGAAAAACACTTTTTCACAGTACAAGCTCTCCATTTCTTCCTTTTCCTCATTTCACTCCCCAGGGGTAGCAGTTAATTGTGTGTTGTCTTCTAGACATTTTTCTATGCATATAAAATTGTGTGCATTGGGCTGGCTGGTTAGCTCACTTGGTTAGAGCATAGTGTTGATAACACCAAGGTCAAAGGTTCAGAGCCCCATACCAGCCAGCTGCAAAAAACATGTGTATAGTACTTCCCCCACCCCCCAAAATTGGAACCATATTATATACTCTTTCTACAACTTGTGTTGACATAGGTTTAATTCTATGTCATTATGTATAATGTCATTATGTATAAATCATCATTTTTACCTGTATCATATAATTCCATTGTATGGGGATAAAATTAGTAATTATTTTGATCAAATTAATTTAAAATTTGGTAATGTATGGAGACATTTTTGATTGTTATAACTTAGGAGGGGGCATCAGTAGGTAGAGGCCAAGGAGGCTGCTCAAAACCTACAGTGCTCTGGACAGCCCTCCACAACAATGAATTATCTGGCGCCAAATGTCAGTAGCTCTGAGACTGAGAAACCATGCTACAGTCTTTTTTTGGGATATTTCATTGATTTTCTTGCTCTTATTATCTTCTAATAATTCTCTGAGTTTTGCTTCTCTTGTGTTAATGTAATTTTCTCTGTTGGCCATCATATGTATTGCTACTTTTGACACTACTCCAGATACCTTCTGTGAACTGATTGGCAAAACTTAAACTTGGAAAAATATTATCCTGTTTGCCCTAGGCTCTCCTCCTGATTCTTTGGCTAAAACTGAATCTGTATCTCTTACCATTTGTTCAACTCAGGGTCTCAGCTTCTTAGAAGTGAAAGATCAGCTGCTGCTCATGTACCTTATGGATTTGAGCCACCTCATCCTCGACAAAGCATCAGGAGGGTCTCTTCAGGGACATGCTGCAGTTTTGAGGCTGGTAGAGATTCGCACGGTATGAAGCTTTTGGCATTTTAGAGTTCTAGGTTTACAAACCCTGTACTCCAAGGTTGTCACACAGTAGCTCTCATTTAAGTGGGTGTTCTCATGTTTAGGTAAGGAAACCAAATGAAAAAAAGTATTTTTCTCTTCATTTGCTCTACTTTGTTTATATTTTAGGTGCCTTTTCTGGCAACTTAATATAGGGACTTTGGTATGTGTTGATTTGGGAAAGGGAATGTAATCCTTTTTAACTAACACATTGTAGGTTTTGGAAAAGCTTCGTCCTTTGGACCAAAAATTGAAGTATCAAATTGACAAATTGGTCAAGACTGCAGTGACAGGCAGCCTCAGTAAGTAGATGGACCATCATAAATTTGTGGCAACCATTATAAAGTTCCAAATCTTATAAAATCGCTTGGGTTTTTTATTTCAGGTAAAAATGACCCACTTCGTTTTAAGCCTCATCCCAGCAATATGATGAGCAAGGTAAGGGGTTGTATTATCCTCTTGATTTTCCTGAAGATCTACATGTAAATGAGCCTAGTGGTGATCCTGGATCTCCCGGGATTCTCTTATGACTTGATTTTCCAACATGTGCCTTAGAATGTTGAGTATGGGGCCGGCCCAGTGGCGCACTGGATAGTGCGCCGCTTGGGAAGTGGCGGCGGCGCTCCCGCCCGAGGGTTCGGATCCCACATACAGACCGGTTCCCGCTCACTGGCTGAGCGAGGCGCGGGAGCAGCACTGAGGGTTGCGATCCCGTTGCCGGTCCCCGGTCCGGTGCGGGGGCAACACTGAGGGTTGCGATCCGTTGCCGGACACGGAAAAAGACAAAAAAAAGACAAAAAAAAAAAAAAAAAAAAAAAAAA